ACTCTTGGCTGGTAACTACAGTAATTTCTGATTTAACTGCATGAGCAGCTCACATTCTGAACGGGTTTAGGCCATTACTGATGTAATATTTTATATATCCAAAATGTGAAAGAAATTTCCTCTCTCTGTGCCTATTTAACAGAACTCAGGATTTATACATCCAGAGGCCACACTAGCTCCTTCTGTCCTGTCACTCCTCAATACTGAGGGCAGCCTGCAGTCTACATGTCCTAGATCTTTCACAGTCTTTACTTTCAAAGTCAGTGCTCTCCTGAGATGCCAGGGATGATCCAAATTCCCTTTTTCTCATAAACACAACGCTGCATTTTGCACAATTAAAGGACACTGTGTCTGAAAAGGGACTCGCTTCACAAATGGAATGTACAATGATACATGATTATCCTGCTTTTTTTCAGTCTCTCAGCCATCCAGAAAATTGATCATCAGCAGTAATTTCATATTTTTATTTCCAAATGAATTACGAAAATGCTGAAAAGCACCAGTCCTCGTATGGACGTGATGCTGGCTCATTAAAGAAGATTCCCAGTTAACTACTGCTACTTGAGGTCTGACAGACAGATCTTAATTTGCTTAATATGTGCTGAATTGGCATTACATATTTTTAGTTAAGAAACCTGCTGCTTTTTGAAATATATGTTAGACGTGCAGTTGCCTTTATCCACCAAACCTGTCATACCCTTAAAGACTGGTATGAGGTTTGTTTGGCAAATCCTGCCACGTAAGATCATGCTGACTGACCTTTTTTTCCTATCTTTTATCAACTACTTCTCTTGTCTTACCTAAGAATGACTGAAACACTGAAGATGAAATGCAAAGCAGTAACACTTTTCTAGTCTTTGGCATTCACCACACACTGCACAGTTTTTCAGTTATCACCAGCAAGCAGAGATGTCCAGTCAATTCTGCTAGGGTTCTTAACCTTTTTAAAAAACACAAAACATGGATATCTATCATACTAACTGATATTCAACATATTCCTTGGTTATCACTGAAGAGAACAGCAGTTTGATGGCCTCTTATGTTATAAGCAATTACTCTGCTTGCTTCCAAATACAGAACAGGCTTGAGCAGTAATTCCAGTGTGCTGACTGCGTCTCCCTTCACATTCTCCAGAGAGGGTCTCTGCACAATAGTTTCCACTGATTAGCACACCAAGAAGGCTAAACTGCACTGAAGCTGAGCTAAACTGCACTGAAGTTGAGCTTTCGTGTACTTTGATACGCTTTGCAGCAGGTCTAAACAATACCAGTTAGCTGTACTCCTCTGTAGGCAACACTAAGTGCAGATCAAGAGGAAGGTGTGAGAAGGCAATCCTTGCCCTCGGAGCCTTTTCATGTTTGAAGCGTTGTCTATGCAGAGAATTAATGTGAAACTATAGCGTTTGTTAGAATGGAAGACCTGGAGTTTCCAGTTACAGCTCCCGGGGGAAACTGGTTACAGAGAAGATTTGTGAACTGTAAACATCAGATTATCAAACTTAAAGATCTTCTCCTGTTCAAGCTTTTTGAGTTGTATGAGCAGGCAAGTAAGAATCAATATCACACAGTAGAGATCATGCTGGCACCCAAGAAGACTTTCATCCTACGTTATTAAAAGTGGAATTGTATAGTTGTTAAGTCCTCCATTACCAAGAGATACAGACTCCACCATTGCTCATCCCACTAGAACCACTTGCATCGTTTCATTTGTCCTCCTCACACATCCCCATACCGTGCCTTCTTCTTCTACTTGTTCAGTCTCAAGTGCAAACTTGTCCTTTTCATTCCATGTAGAGAATCACACCTACCAGTGACTCTTATGACACCAACACTCAACCTTCTCTCAGACCTGCAAAGTTATCCTGAGAAAATGATAAGAACCATAGAACCATAGAATGGTTTGGGTTAGAAGGGACCTTAAAGATCATCTAGTTCCAACACCCTTGCCAGGGGAAGGGACACCTTCCACTAGATCAGGTTGCTCAAAGCCTCATCCTATCTGGCCTTGAACACTTCCAAGGATAGGGCATCCACAACTTCTCTGGGCAACCTGTTCCAGTGCCTCAACACCCTAGGAGTGAATTTCTTCCTTATATCTAATCTAAATCTACCCTCTTGCAGTTTAAAGCCACTGCCTCTTGTCCTGTCACTACAAGGGACACCTTCCACTAGATCAGGTTGCTCAAAGCCTCATCCTATCTGGCCTTGAACACTTCCAAGGATAGGGCATCCACAACTTCTCTGGGCAACCTGTTCCAGTGCCTCAACACCCTAGGAGTGAATTTCTTCCTTATATCTAATCTAAATCTACCCTCTTGCAGTTTAAAGCCACTGCCTCTTGTCCTGTCACTACAAGCCCTTGTAAAAAGTCCATCTCCAGCTTTCCTGTAGGCCCCCTTTAAGTACTGGAAGGCTGCAATAAGATCACCCCGGAATCTTCTCTTCTCCAGGCTGAAGAGTCCCAACTCTCTCAGCCTGTCTTCATAGCAGAGGTGCTCCAGCCCTTGGATCATCTTCATGGCCCTCCTCTGGACCTGCTCCAGCAGCTCCATGTCCTTCTTGTGTTGGGGACTGCAGAGCTGAACGCAGTATTCCAGGTGGGGTCTCATGAGAGCAGAGTAGAGGGGCAGAATCACCTCCCTCAACCTGCTGGCCACGCTTCTTTGGATGCAGCCCAGGATACGGTTGGCTTTCTGGGCTGCCAGCGCACATTGCTGGCACATGTTGAGCTTCTTATCAGCTAACACCCCCAAGTCCTTCTACTCAGGGCTGTTCTCAATCTATTCTCTGCCCAGCCTGTACTTGTGCTCGGGATTGCCCCGACCCACATGCAGGACCTTGCACTTGGCCTCGTTGAACTTCATGAGGTTCTCATAGGCCCACCTCTCCAGCCTGTCAAGGTCCCTCTGGATGGCATCCCTTCCCTCCAGTGTGTTGATTGTACCACACAGCTTGGTGTCATCAGCAAACTTGCTGAGGGTGCTCTCAATCCCACTGTCCATGCTGCTGACAATAAAAAGTGTACTTCCCATCTGCCCTGGGAATCTAACTTACACAAGAGCACAAAGTATGAGGACTTTGGAGGTTCCCCTAATTCTCATTTATGGCTACAAGGCTTCTAGATCAGTGTCTATGGTTAGATATGGTGAATACCCCTGAGCCTAAAGCAGTTGCACACTGAGCCCCGAATGATCCAGCCGCACTGTACAGCTTGTTTTGAGGCACTTAGGTACTTGCTGATAGGCACACTCACACTCACAAAGGCCCTTCAGTGCTGGTCTGCTAAAGACTGCCCAGAAGTGAGGACTAAATGCAATTCATTATGTTTGTCTGAACACTCATGTTCCCAGGACAGCAAACGGGGAGTGCTTAGCGTCATCAAAACTCAATGTCCACAGGAATGAATGGGGAAGCACCTAGGGGAGGTGTCAAAAAACCACTGAAGATAACTATTCTGGAATCCTGTCTCTCTCGTGGACTTAACTGCTGACACACAGGCCTAGAAAGGAGACTGTTCAAAATCAGGAGTTGACAGCCCTCTAACAGGTCAAGGACAGAAGGACCCCATTCCAACATCATTAGTAATGTGAAGCAATGTGTAGACCTACGCACTTTTGCAAATCTGTAGCTAATCCTTTACTGCTAAGTCATTTGTACAGGTCAAAAAAGTTTCCCAAAGCCATTTTAGAAAACTGCTTGAATAAATATTAAGGGTCAAGCAAATAGTAATGCTTTGGACTTACTCTCTGGAGTTCCCCTGTGTGCTACAGATGTGTATCTAATCTCAGAGACCATGTACGTATACAACTGCATGAGTTTATAGTATGCTGGCTCTGTCACATAGTCTGGGGTTAAATTCCTCTCATAAAAGAAGGAGAAAGTCCCCTATACTATAGTTTTCCTAAAGTAGTTACTCTCACTCTAAGAGTGAGAACTGACAGAGCCCTGTTTTTATAAGGCAGTATCTAATTTACCTTGCAACAGGAGAAACTAAATTTTCATTTAATATACAATTATTTAACATCACTTTGTATTTGCACCCTCACTTACTGCACATAATTTTCCACAGCAGGCACATCTTTGTAATTCAGAAATGATGTCACTGATGAAAGAACAGTCACATGTGTGCAAATTTAGAAGGCTCCCCCCCCCCCCCAAAATAGCCTTCTAAATGTTAGACAGAGATATAAAGGCAGTTCATATGGTTCCCTGAGTGGTTTATAATTCTGGCATCATCACTGCTTCCCCAGGTTTTTGTACTGAGATTATTTTTGAATTGTACTTAAATCATTGGCATCTCCACACAATTCTCAGAAAGTGATTTGGCATTTCTTAAATTCTTTTGAGAACTCTCAACTCTATAGCCACAGATCAACGTCGTTGCTCGAACAAGTAAACTCAACGCATACGTGTCTAATCCTGTCCTCTTAAGTGTCTGATTTACAATGTGGCTAATTGCATTTTTAGATTCCCAACACTCCTGGCACCAATTTCTGCTACTCCACAAAAGGAGCCAGTTTCATAATTACTCCATATCAGCCTCATTGTTGGGAAATCAAATTGTCGAGGAACTTTATGGATAGCATCCTCTGTCAAGGCACTCTTGTTCAAATTGCTGCCAGCATGATGTCTTTCACTGTTACTTGTTCCTTGATGGAATTTAATAAATATTCATTGGCAGAGTGCAGTATAATTGATTCAGCCGCTTTCATTTTTTATCAGCCCTGCTGGATGCCACAGCCTCTGCACAAAATCTCCAAGATTTGCCAAAGGTTGACAGTAAGAAGCTTTGGAGATTCACTTGATGAAGAGAAGGGAGAGAAATAGTGTCTCTTATCGCCATGTCTAATATTCACTGTCAGGAGAAAAAAAAGCTATATGGTTCTTTGGATGAGCAATGTGCCTTATATAATACACTTTGAAAATTCATAAATTCATAAAGTGTAATATTAAATGAAATGTTATGATATAAAAAAGGTTTATGATAAGAGAGTATCAATTTATACTGAAAAATGCTTTTCAATAAAAATCAGGATATATTACATTAATATTTATTTGTATTTATTAAACAGAAGATTTTTCACTACTCATAAATAGTGATTTACATTTACTTTTAGTATTCACCAGGCTAGGCACTAGAAGCTTATTCCCTTCGAACTCTTCATAAAGGTTTTTAACTCCCCCTACAGTATCCATGCCTATATTGCGTTACATTTAAGACTACTGGAAGTCTATGTTTAAGCAAACATCCCATTTCTGCAGTCCTGTTAATGAAATCAGGCCTTGCACATGAGCCTTTTTGAAGAAAGGGTCAGAGCTGACTTTACATCTAATACATACATCTAACATGTCTTCATTAAAAATGCATCAAACTGCAATATGTATTAATATCAACATGCAATATGTATTGAACATATTTTCTGTATAGAAGTACAGAATCTTCTGATATTGATAGGCTCTACATATATGTAGCCTACTAGAATCAGACTTTGCATTTCACGTTCTTGTTTCTTTCAGACACCTTTCAAACATACTTCATTTTCAGAGTTCATTTAGGTAACAGCCCTACTGCTTTAATCCAATTAGCCTGTTAGCATAACCATCACCTCACTGAATTCTCCATCTAGTTTTATAAGAAACCTCTTAGTGGCACAAAAAGGAGCAGATAGTGCCAGGCTTTGTACCTACCAGAATGTTCTTTTGTGAGCCTATAGGTTAAAAATTATATACTATAGATTCAATCCTCTGCTTGTAGACGCTGATGCAAAAAAAGTAACTGTACTGAATTAGAGAGACCTGCAAATGTGTTAAAATCATACTGGCAAACTGAGGCATATATTTAATTTGCTTCTTTTCAGCATCCGTTGTGTTAAATTTACTTCTATGGTGAGACACTGCGAAACAAAACAAAAAGTTCTAAAAACTTATCACTTTTTTCTTTCTTTCTTTTTCTGTTGTTCACTTACTGGAATGCCAGTGAAGGTAACTGGAGGCGACTGCCAAGAGATGCTAAAGCTACTGCCATTGGGAGTGAATTTTGCTGACCCTGGAATGTTCACCGGAGGAGTGGCCTGTGTGAAAAGAAAATATTATTCCAGTAAGAAGAACTATACCTCTCCAAAGCATTTAAAGAGATCTTTCACTCCTTGAAACTGTAAATCTACAAGAGACTTTCCGAGGTGGAAAAAAACTTCATTGTGCTGACAGTGACAAGCATTTCACCCTTATGAGAGGGATAATCATGGATAAGCCAGTAAGGAAGGGACACGTTTATATATTACTGTTCTTAAAACCTTGTTTAGAGAAAGACAAGAGCTCTCACAAGAATCCACACAAAACTCTTAAAAGCTAGATCTGATAAAAACCCAGACGAAATCAAACAACATATACAAATAACTTTTAAAATAATGCCAGCTAGCAGCAAAAAATATTACAAATGATCACCTGTTCCACAGCAGTAAACAAGGCAGTACTTAAACTGATGGCAGCTGAGTTAAACAACTGAAGACCAGCTGGCAAGGCTTCTTGGACAACAGGGTTAACCATCAACAGTAAGAGTTGGCCATTTCTCGTTTATCAGATCAATGCTGTTAAGAATCATCTCAATTAAAACAGTCTTTCCTATTAAAAACAAGGAACTGAAAATCATCCTCGGGATTCAAAAAACCAGCTCTTAAAAGACTAAGCTAAAGCAAATATTTGAAAGAGTCCTGGGCCCCTTCCACTCTTATGTTCTTCCCATCTGGGCGGTAATACCCAGTGCTGCCCTGGGGCACAATACCTGATAATCTGAGCTCAGACCGCTGAGCATCTTTCATCTTGTGCCTTCCCTCTGGTTTCTCACTGGGCTATGAGCCCTCAGGAATTCTTCCCTGCCCCTTCCTGAATCCCATTTAATTTACAGAGTCAGGAAATTCACACCTTTGCAGTTACCCTGCCTAGCAGGAGCGCAAGCAGTCACCACGAACACAGGCTCCCTTTCACTCTTGAATTTCAAGCATTCACGATAAAAAAAGGCTCCTTGGTTTACACTTATGAATAACTTGCCATTAAAAATGAGTTTTTACTTCTGTCTTCCAGTTGCCTGCATCTGAAAACAATGCAATACACTTATTTAAGTAGTGTTTGTGTTCGAGGCTGCTGAAGTTGTCTCACCGCTTCAAGGAAATGAGCACTTCCCTGAGCTGCCAGGCAGAGAGGAGTGATGACAAACTACAACCTGATAGTCCCCATTAAAGATAATCTTCAGAGTAAACAAGTGCTGAAGCAATTCCCTGGAGTCTCTCCAAGGAAAAGAAACCGAGACCACCGGACGCCTCCATCTACGGCAGCAATGCTCCCTGGGCTGCTGAGATTGCTGACAGCTCCAAGAGAATCCACACAGACATGCAGAGCAAACGTCCACTGAGCTCCATAAAATATACAAACCTCGCTGAAAGGCATCAAGAAAAAATTGGCAACTCCAGATGGTAGTAGCAGTGCTTCATCACAGCCCTGTGCAAACGAGAAGGAGTGAATGACCACGGCACTCCTGCCAGAAAGGACTGGAGGCAGCTGGGTGGGCAGTGAGGCAGCACTGCCTCCGCTCAGCATCCCACTGGGACATCAGCTCAAAGCCGAGGTCAGCACAGTGACTTCCTCGGGTATTCAAGTAAGACCCACGAGGGAAATCCTAGATGCTGCAAGAGCCCACCTGTATTTCCCCTGTAGCTAAATTTAACAGGTACAGGCACTAGTTTCATAATGAAACGTGAAGTACGAGAAGTTTAAAACTGCTGTAATTTGCAGTTGTCTAAAATTCCATGGTGCTCAATTATTTTTTCTTGGTGCCTGAACAGCGACCTCAGACATGACCAGATTTAGACAGTCAGTCACCTTGTCCTTTTGTCTCCCAGACACGTATCTTTGCTCACTGAGCACAGTCACCTTTTTCAGGCTAAGATTTTAGACAATCTCTTCCATAGGGTAAGCAACTGTAACATTACAACAGAGGAGTTTAACTATACTCCGATCTCACTTAGCTTAGAGACCTCCAATCTAATTTCCAATCAAAATACATGCATGGATAATTTAGAATTATTTATTTGTGCCAACATTGCCCTTATATTTGAAATAGCATGTGCTTGCCCTCTTCCCCTCTCATGTTTGTCCCCTCACTTTCTTCCCAGGCAGCAATCCCATCCTCTTCTCACCCCGGCTTTTTTGCTCAAGCTGTCAGTCCCTGAGCTGAGAGGCCTTCCATGTCCTCCCTGCCCTCCCTCTTCACTCTGATCACTTTCTTTCTACTTCTTCTAATTGCAGCCCATCACCTTTGAACTTGATTGACCACAACTCTGCTCAGGATCACAGCTGAAGTTATCCACAGGTCTTGTACAACATTAAAAATCTCTGTCTCTCCTAGATATTTCTTACCCAAGAAAGCTGACAACTTTTTCCTCCCCTTCACAGCTCTATTGTTGTTGGCTCATGATCATTCTGTGCTTGATTTATGAACATAGGTTTCTTCCTCATGTAATTTGCTAACTACCCCAGTTTATAGCAGAAAAATCTCATTAGTTCCTAAGGTGCTGGACTTTGCATGTTCTGCCACTAAATTGCATTCAAAACCTATTATTCTTAAGATCATGCAGTCATGTAAGCATGATATATAAATCCCTGTATTGCTGATGTCTCCCAAGTTTGTGATCAGCAAAGTTTATTACAGTATTTGTGTAGTACCAAAATGATTTAAGGAAAATGAGATCAGGCCCAAAACCAGCTTTTTGTTCAACTCCACTAAAAACATCCAATAGCACTTTCAAGAGAACTCAGTGCTGTTCTTCCTGACTCCCCAACTTTCTCTCCTACACTAAATTTAATCTTTAGCCTAGCAAATACTGCCTATATGTTTTCAGATCAAATGCTCTCCTGAAATCCAGAGGGATTTGTTCTTCTGTACTGCTTCTTTGTTGTTTACAAAGCTACCTTGTCCAAGGAAGATGTTAGACTGTTCTGGCATAATCTTTCTTTGGGGTTCCTCCATTGCAGTTCACCTCATTTGCTGTACTTTCCGCAATTCCTTCAATTATTCTTCTATATCTTTCTTCATCCATAGGGCTGGGTCAGAGAAGAAAGTCAGGACTTGCCTGCTCACTTCCTCTTTACACCTTTCTTATTACAGGTATTATATTTGCCATTTTCCAGCCATACAGGAAATGGCAATTAACAGATCTCTTTAGGATTCTTGAGACCCAGCTTCGGGTTTTGCATTTTCTTTCTTTTTTTAAAAGGAATCCTGAGATGAGCATTATTAAACCTCCTTTATCCAAGCTCCTTGAGCTGTGAATTTTGCCTCTTCACTCCCAGTGAAGTTATTTCCACTTCCATGCTCTTATTCATATGAAAGATTGTTTTCATCACTACACTCCCATTCAATACTTTACTTCAGTTTTGATACAGATAACATCAGAAGTAAATAAAGTTTTGAAATTCAGTGCATGGCTCACTCCAGCAAGCAAACTGCAGGAAATATGGTGGTATTAAAGATGCCGTTGTCACCTTCTCTTCTGTTCCCTTTTACACAACAGATTCGTCACAAGAACACTGAAATGCTACGAGTGAAAGCTGGGCTCAATTCCTCCTCTTACTGGTGAGCGTTAAATCTCCACCTTGCCTCCCAAAGAGTGCTTTTCTTGCTGGGCTAGAGGGACCCTGGCAGCGGACGCCACTGACCTGCTCTGCAGAAGCTGCCTCCTTTGCAAGGACAACCCGAACGCTCGAGCAGGGGCCCGACCTCTGCTTCCAACTAGAAAGCCTTGAACAGCGCGGGTTGTGTCACTCCTCGCTGATGAAGTGCTGGAACCGGAGGAACTTGAAAAGGAGACAGGGCTCAGGCACTTGTAGCCTCGTGTCGTGGAAAACATCAATCCAAATCCAATTCAAGCAGCTTAAACATTTGAACTAGGATTTCCTTAGGCAAGTGCTTTACTCAAAGGCTGCTTATAAAAAAGGATCTAGTGAGTCTCCAAATTGCAGGGGAGATAGGCACGACTGCAAATCCCAAATGAAGTGAGACTCTTCTCACCAGCCTAAACATGGTGCCTCATGCTTTAAGAGGCAGGGCTTAAGCCAGACTGAGAAGAAAGTCTTTCTCCTAACTGGCTTGATCAGTCCCCAGGTTGGTGTGCTATCCGATGCAGCTCCCACCTGAGATGCCAAGCTTCCACCAATGCCTTCTGCTGTTCACGAAAGTCTAAAACAAACCCGTGAATTCTGTGTGGTTCCCTCTGCCATTTTAGCAGGTCTGCTCCAGACACACAATAAAAAGGTTTCATCTGCACAATACTGTATACAAAAGTTATTGCATCTGATAAATTTAAACTGGAGTTTAATTCTCCAGTGCATACACAGATCATGGACCACACTACTTCAAAGCTTCTATTCTTCTTTTTTCATATGGTATCCAGACCAAAACAGGTCAAATTTTAGTGCGCTTTTAAAATTAATGCTTTCTGTCTGAACTTAGTTGGAAGCATTTGGAACAGCAGGTTTTGGATCTGATTGGATTTTTGCCATTTGCAAAGCATTACCTCTAAGAGCAGGACACCATATATGCCTTTTCATTCTTCCTGCTCTACTTCACGTATGCAAACTGACATCTCACACTGTACAAATAAAGGAAATGAATTGTTCCTGGCATCTCTTGGCATTGTGCTTTAGCTCCAGACGTCAACTAAGCACCTCGCAGCCGCTCACTCACTCCTCCCTCCCTGCATCCCCTGCCCCAGCGCCGGTGGGGTGGAGAGGAGAAAGTACAACAAAAGGCTCAAGGGTCGAGATAATAACAGGGAGGGATCACCCACTAACCACGGCCATGGGTAAAACAGACTCACCTTGGGGACAAATCAATTTAAATTGTCACCAGTTCATTCAGAAAGGATGAGAAACAAAGCCAGATCTTAAAAAACACCTTCCCCGCACCCCTCCATTCTTTCTGGCTCGACTTCCTCCCCCAGCAGTGCAGGGGGACGGGGAACTGGGGGAGTTGAGAATCAGCTCATCACATGTTGTTTCTGCCACTCCTTTCCTAAAGAGGGAGGACTCCTGACACTCTTCCTGCCCCCCAGTGTGGGGCCCCTTCCCACAGGAGGCAGTTCTCCACGAACTTCTCTGACATGAGTCCTCCCTGAGGAATTCAGTCCTTACCCATCAGACTGCTCCAGCACAGGCTTTTCCCATTGAGTCATGGCTTCTTCAAACAAACAAACAAACAACTAGCTCAGAAGTGGACATCTAAATTGAAATGAGATGAACCCCTTGGGCTGCCCTGAAAACTTTTCAACCCACTAAAACTACACTTGGCTTTTTAAAACCCAAACATTGTGATCTGACATTTGTTTACACATCAATGACATCAGTACAATCAATGGAGTTCACTCTCCCTAGCGTTACCTGGTAAGCGTGGTCCGTGTGTACGAGGTAGAGGTTGGTAGGAGCTGAGCGGCTCAGAGGTGTCATCAATTTAGTCTCAGTTTTGGCACAGGAAGTTTCAGGACGGATTGCATCTTGGGTGGGAAAGGAAGGAGGAGATGCTAAAGACGGAGAGACTGGGGAAAGACTGCTTAAGCCATCAGCTACCGAGTCTGTGTTGAGCCTGATTTCTGTATAGTAAAAATCCTCCTCTCCATCACTGTAGTCAGACTCTCCTACACGTCTGTATCAAGACAAAGAATGAAGGACTGATTAAATGAAAGCAAGAACTGCAAGGTAAATTTTAAGTTCTAGATGCATGAGCAAATATATTCATACTGTCGATAAATTAATATTCCCAGTTTCAACCCCACCTCCTTTATCAGCATTCTGGCTGCAGGGAAGAGGGAGAGGAAAAGAAAATCATGTAATCTGAAGAGAAAAGAAACAAGAATTCGATTTTTTTTTTTCTGTGTGTTATTCTTGACTAATTCTTGACCTTGGAGTACATGTTTAACTTCAATGGTTCAGCTTAAATAGCAGCTTCTCATTCCTAACTATTGAAGTTAACAAGAATCTCAATGCACTGAGACTTCAGAAATGACAGAGCAGCTACAGAAGGACAAGTAAAAATAACAAACACAGCCAAGACATACTTCACTAGTGTTAAGGCAAACAATATGTAATCTTATCATAGGTTACTTAACTAAACCAAATATAGTTATGGCCGTGGTTCACTGTAATTTTCCTTGGCATAACAGAAGAAGCAGCTAGAAAACAGTCTCGCCATGCAACTCACTCAGACACATGTAGAGAAAGGGCATATATGGGCTGGCTTGCCAGTACAGGACTTTCTGGTCCTACTCTCCAGAAGCAGACTTATGGAAGGAGGAGACCTAAAAGGCTTAATTGCCCCTGCATCCCCTGGCACTATCTGCTGCGGGTTTGAGCGCTAGCAGCGAAGCAGCTCAGTCAAAGCAGTAATTCCCAGTAAGCTACGTGTTATCTTGAAGGCCAAAACAAACCACTATTTCAGCACATTAATAATCCACATGCGATACAGATGTAACTCACAGCTCATACACGCATGTTTTCTCCTCATTCTTCCATATAGGAAATCTGGGAGCCCTAAGCATCCTCCTGCCTGCATGTCCATATCAGGGCTGAACGCTGGGCCTCTCCTTTTCCAGGCATGCACCCTAAACCCAGGCTCTAGTCAGTTCCTCAGTCTGCTTGCCCATATACCTCTACCTATGGTTCTCTCGCCACGTTACTCAGCATGGGTTCACCAGATTTGAAAGGTTCTACCAGAAGTACCATCTGTCAGACCAGAAAAGTTACAAACTCCCAATTCCAGGAAAGTTCTGCTATTTACTTCTACCTCTCCCCTGCCATGGAAAGGATGTCCTCACAATATACAGGATAAAACATTTGTAACTGCATTTTGAGAGAGATTTTCTCTGTTTCTGATAGCCTCGCTCTACAGAGCCTAAGCCCAACAGCAATTACTGTGACCTTTGCAAGACTCTCCTGAGTTCCTCATGGTGACTTTCATTTTTAAGCACTGGGTAACACAGATATTTCCACATGCCTAGCAGGTGAACACCATAAGACCCCACTGTAACTATACATGAGACAGCTAGGTCACTGAGCGAATTGCACAGGAGATTTCAGTTGCAAAGTAAAGCTCTGAAACAAGTTCATGTAATAAAAGATTAATTTGCTTTTGCTTCTAGTCCAAGAACCCTACACATGGAATTGCAGCTCAGTTTGGTTTTCTTAGTTTTTTTATTTTTTGGGGTTTTTTTTGAGTTAATCTGACTCGGAACTAGCACAAGCACCTGATCTGATGTGAAACAAGGCTGGAAGGTATTCATGCAAGACCCAGAAACCTGCTGGTTTTTACACAGTGTCAGCCTGGACATGACATGCGGATAGCACATATGAAGTAAATGCCACTGAGTTGTGCGGCTGTTAGGGAAGTGCACTGTGACCTACGGCTGTATTTGACCTTCTAGCAAAGTTCACTTTGATGCACTACTCTGCAATTTCCTCAGAAACCTAGGAATCTGAGACAGAAGAGTCAAGGACAAGTCAGTTCACCTCCCCAGTCAAGTGTGACTGTTCTCTTTCCAAACCAAATCCTCTAGACTTCTGAAGGGGCTGCTCTCTTACCCCAGGTGAATGGTCCGTATGTGTTTCTGAATCCCTGCAGCTGTACTCAGTACCTTCCCACAGTTTTTCCACAGGCATTTGAACATCACCTTCATGGAGTTCTGAAAATTATCAGTAAAGTAATATTAGTTGTATGAGAAGACAGAAAGAAAACCAAACCACCCAAACCAGATATACAGTTACAAAACACTGTGAAGGTTCAGAGCCTCTAACTCCAAATTTGTAATGATGTGCTAGTCTCCACCAACAGTGTCGTCATGCTGAACTCAGCGGGATCCCAGTGAAAAGCTGCAGGAGCAGCTTGTGACAAAACTTCACCTCTCTCCAGTCTTTGGCATGTTTTTTTCATTTGCAAGTTCCAGTTTCTGTTTCCCTACTAAAGGAGGCAGACAATACAAGAACTTCCTACGCTACTTCGGAGCCTTTCAAAGAACAACTGATGAGGACTGCTCACTTAATGCAAGGCATCTTCTTAAATTAAGATCTTCCTAAAGCAAGCTCTTATGAATATTTCTGCTTGTGAATTTTGCAACACATAAAAAATATCGTGCCAGAAACCTGTAGCTTCTGCTATGACAATGTTCACCCATGAGCTGGCAAAACCTGCTTTTATTTCATTCAGAAACTGCTGTGACCCTTACTTGGACAACAGAATGAGACACTTTCAGGCTATGTTCAACATTTTAAAAAGAATATCTGTATAACCTCATTTTAATATTCTTGTTATATTCTTTAATATAACTTCATTGGCCTAAACTGAGTTATGATTGATTTAGAGCATAGCCAACAAAGCTATAACCAGCCCAATCTTTAATATCTTGAAGACTCTGGAGAAAACCAGTCCTAATTTAAAGCACACTATGTGGTAACAAACAACAAAGATGTTTCAGAACTGTTTGGACTTTTTTAAAAGCTAATTTTAACCCAAAATGAAACATACTTTATAAATTTTAAATCATAAAAACCCATCTAAATAATTCCTACTTCTCAAAACTAATTTTCTCTACTATTACAGAACACATTATTAAACAAAACATGAGGAATAGCTTCAAACTACTGTATTATTACCCTATGATTTTAGTAACATGCAAGATTAAATGAATATATTCATATAAAGTGCAACTGAAAAAAAAAAGTAACAAGCACATCCTTTGAGTTAAGTACATGCTTCACTGTGTCTTGAACAAAAGTTGGCTTGGTGCTTTCTTCAATCTGGACTCTTTGGAACTGCATGCCAGTAGACGCTAAGTTTCAGCATTTGCTAGAAAGACAATGATTAAAATATAATTTTAAAAAAATCTCAGCTGATGGACTTTTTAAAATACAAGTTGATTGTAGCAGCATGTTCTCATAGTTACTTGGCAGTCCAACATCTCTTGTTTGAAAGTATGGATGCTAAGGGCTTTAAGATTTGAGGTACCTGATCATACTGTTTGTATGAAAACCTTTTACTTTGGAATAAATTGCACATAAATTGTCTCTATAATTTTTTGTCTGATAATACAACTACCATTCAAATAGACACAGAACTCTTTTTTCCTAAAATTAAATATAATCTATCTAGCAAGTCTGATAGATACACTTCTTACTTTTATAATATGATACTAAATACTATCATCAGCTCAAAACCCACAACCAAGATGACAAGATGAAGACTATGCTTATCATTTGCATCTTAGGAATTCCAGTATGACATCATGAACAACACCGGCATCTTTACGAACACCGAATGGTTTAACATCAGTCTCCAGTTTGATGGTAAAACCAACCTCCTAGCTCCACTGCGTTTTTGGCTTTATTATCAGTGCCAGCAGTCTGCAAAACCCCATGCATTTTAATGTAACCAAATGAAATCTCACTCCATAGAAATACAGAACGTAAACCATGCTTCCAATTCTGACTAGTCTAAAAATTGCATGATCAGGCTTAATGTTTTAAGAAAATAATGGAACCTACATGGTTTGGTGAGGAATAACTACATTAGTGGAAACTCTGAAGCACTAAATAAGAAGTGGTTGCTAACATTGTATTTTCCAAACATGAAACAGAAGAAACTTTAATGAGTAAAAGCAATGTTACTGATCACTCTATTTCCAGGTTTATTCCTTGTGATTTTTGCAGCCCTGACAAAGAAACAACCTGAACTTTTTTATCTCAGCTTCTAAAGACGTGAAGCTGTACTCAGATAAAGTAACATGCTGGGGCCAGAATAAAAAAAATGGCAGGAAACGCAGTTCATTTATAAAACAAGGTTTGGCAGGTAAAGTTATTTGGCACAGAGAGCAAAATCTCTGTGAACCAGAACAGACAGTGTAATATACCTGTAGTGGGTACATAAATAGAAATATTTGAAGACAACCTAGAAAACAATAAAGATGGCACCTGCAAACCCATCTGTCTCTTCACAGCTGAGCAGTAAGAGTGATGCTAATAAGCTGAACTTC